CACTGTTTGGATGCTCAGTGAGTACAAAAGGAGGAGTTGGCTTCCCACTGTGCTTCTGTCTTCCATCACCTGCCTGCCTCTGCAGAAAGCCAACACAGGCAAGGGAGTTTAGAAACTATTTTAGACACTGGCCTAAACCTCTGAGCGACTGCAAATGTTAATAGATGCTTTCATGATGCTTCTGAGCTGAGAAAAGAAACTGGTGCATCTCCCCCGCTGTCACTGACATGTTAAACTTCCTGTTTGCAGAACAAAATTGTAATGCACCTAGACAAGAAAGCATATGGAAAATTTTTATTTTGGCGTTTTTCAGTTTCATTCTTGCCCAACAAAACCAAACATTGGGTTTAGAGGGGAAAGATTTTTTTTTTAATCCACTTCACCATATAGCAAAGCTGCAGAATATCACATTTTTTCATTTCAGTGCTTTCTTTGTCAAAGCCAACATGTTGAAGTGTGAAGCAAGGTTGAGAAAAGTGTTAGAGAAGTTAATCCCCCAAACAGGGCTGATGAAATACGCTGAGATTATGGGTTCTGTAGTGAAAGAAATGGCTCTGTAGACCTCTGCACTCCTTCCTGTAGCTGGGAGTTTCTTCTGTCAGGTAATCGATATTCTCTGTATGAAAACTTGCATTTAAAGTATAGCAGTTCTGTTGATTTGGGCAAGCAAAAATTCTGGCTAAATCCACGTACATGTGTAATGGTTCCTTTGAAGTACAGCTGTCCCTGTATCTCTGGTGCCAATAATCAAAAATGCCTTGAATTTTTCTGTCTTTAACTAAATGTCTTGTTTGCTTATTTCAAGGAACAATTACTTTATAATGGATTAAATCTATTTATGGAAATAGACTAAATTTGAGCCCTTATAAAGACAGTTCTGTAATAGAGATTAGAAAAGTTCTTTCTAGTTGATGGCTGTCAAATCCTTGGGTAATTTTTTATTCATGTGTCCTTGAGGTGGTACCAAAGAGCCACTGGCCATGTCAGTACTATGAATTTTTACAGTTTGAAAGTTAAAATAAATATGAGAATAGACATTTGAACTTATACCACTTTTTAGTTGTGATTCCAGCCCAAACTATATATGAGCTTTGCTGTAACTTCAGCTTGCATTTAGACCTCTCTTGTTCTTAGGTTTGTCTTGTTTGGGATAGGCAGGGGGTGCAAGTCCTGCATTAGAATTTATTTCCTCCAATGGAGGTATTATTAAGGGTGGTCTGGCATTCCATTTGGAGGTCTTGTGGGCTTACCATTAGAGAAAGAAGACTCGTATTTATTTACTAAAGATTTAGTTCTTCACAGAACTAATTGCAAAAACTGACTTGTAGTTGAATAGATCCATTTCAGCTCTGTATGGCAACAGTTCGGTTTTTTGGCAGGATTTTGTGAGGCAGCATTGTTGACCAAAGACATTACAGCTCTGGGGTGAAAGATCGTTTCCCCGTTGTTTATCCCAGCAGGGCTGTTAAAGGTCTGATTTCAGCATCTTGAGCAAGTACTGGTGGAGAAGTATGTGAAAAAGCATGGCTTGACTTTGAGATGCGTCATTTGGTGTGGAGACCTTCAAGGGAGCTGGTCCCCCAGTCACTGATGCCCGAAGAGAGAACTAGGCCATTTTTGCAAAGTTACTGTCACCATGGAGCAGATCTCTGCAGTGGGTACTCACCCCTTATGCTATCAAACAGAAGTAGTGCTTAATTCCTTATCTCATGGCACTTTTCCTCATGTAGTCGAGTGGCTGGTGATTTTATTATCCTTTACCTCCCAAAATAAGCTATTGAGAAATGAAATTATAGCTAGCAACAATCAATTAGAAAGTATTTGTTTTATTTAGTAGACTTTATTTGAAAGTATTGCCAAATATTTCGGAACATTCAGGTGTGTTAATACAGGTGTGTGCTTCTAGACTGGTCTCTTCATTAATGAAAAGTGTCAATCACTGAAGCCTTCCAATAATCCACTTTTAGATATGCTAAAAATTTCTATATGGCTTCTAAGTGGAACAGTTTTTGATTTGGTTTCTTCTCTGTGCTTCATGCAAGTTTTTCCATCTTTCAGTAATTGCAAGTTGTTCCTGACTCTGTTTTGCTGCTGCCTCTGGGTACATGACATTTCAGCAGTACCACCTTGGACTGAGTCACCCATGTTTTTAGCAAACACAGTACCAACTACAGCTGTGTTTTATATTATCATTTACTTTCTCTTGTGTTTTAGATTTGGGTTGTTTTCTCTGTGGTGGTACAAGGGCATCTGAATGTCCAGGCTGAAAGTAATTTAAGAAAGTTTATCTACTTGGAGAGGAGCCCTGCTGTGGAGTGCTGATGGCAAAATGCTGTTCTGCATTTCTCCTAGTTTTAGCTTCACTGGCCTCCTTTATTTTGCTGTATGTCTAAAAACTTTTATTGGATACAAAAACCTAAACTTTAGGAAGGGGCAGACTGCAGGTTCTGTACTGTGTCTGCAGTGGCAGCTTCAGAAAACACAAGGATGCAGATCCCTCAGCCTATAATTATTTCCATGCTCTGAGCAGCTTCCCTATGAGTAGCAGTTGGTCTCAGATTTTGCTCCTTGGAATTGTTTGTGCTGCCCTTGGCAGCACAAGCACAGAGACATCCATTCCCAAGGTTTTTAGCACAAGGCTGTAAACAACCATGGTGTTCTTCCTTTAAAAGTAAGGGGTCTTACCCTGCTTCCTTTGAAAACAAAAGCAAAACCACTCAGACTTCACTGGGACCACAACTGGGCTCTGTATTTGGATCTGAACATTTTGTACTGTAACAGAAATAGTCACTTCAGCCCTTCCTTTAAGCTGTTTGTCTTAAATGTACAGTAAATTAAAATCCATATTACATGTAAGGATGGGTCACATCTGTTCCTGCTCTCTAAACAGCCATTCCCCAGGATGAGTATTGCATACACTGTACAAAATCAAGCTGTGATTCTGCCTTCTTATACTCTGAGTATTTTCCTTGTTGGAAATATCTATGCAGATATTTGAAATAGAAGCTTGATATATGAAATATATATTTTTTTAATTTGTTGGTTTGGGTAGGGGTGGGCATTGTATGAAAACACTGGAGGGCGAGGTGATCAAATGATGCTAAGCCACGCAAATCTATTCCCTTTCAAAAATCTGAGAGGGAAAGGAAAATAATAAGGATAGCTAGGAGAAAACAAAACAATGATTTTTCCTTTTCATCCCTTTTAAGTTAAAAATGCATCTTTATTTTTCATTGTCATGATGCAGGCTGAGCATTCTTTTTTGTATACATATACACATGCATATATATATATATATATATATTTGAAATGCTGTCTTAAATTAATGGGGTGTAGCTGTAAATAAGATAGCTGGGTAGTAACTGTTCAGCATTAGTAATTTATTGGCTATTGGGAATCAAACTGCAAAATCCTTTGTTGGGAAACTCCAAATCTGGTTTATTGTTTTGTTTTGCAGCTGGACTTGTAAATAGAAAAAGAAAAAATGTAGGACTGATTTATTGTCCAATTTAAACTGGGCAGTTGCCAGCTTTCCCCATTTTTCTATGTACTGTAGATTAGCATATGTCTGTGTTAACTGTAGTGGGGTTTTGTCTCACAAGCCTGGAATTTGTACTTTGAAATAAAACTATTGGGTTTTTAACATTTTGAGTCATCTGTGTTTAGTTCCTGATACCTCAGGAGGCAATTCTCTCAAAAAAGAGCCCAGAGCCTGCTCTTCCTCTTCAGAGATGTTGGCGCCTTGCTCAAGTAACATTGAGCAGCAAGGACTTGGCTCTTGGTCCTCTGCTTGCTGGCAGCTCAGATTCCTGCACTGCTCCTTGTGACTCAGCTCCATTCCTTAAGTGTGCTACTTGATGCCTGCTGGAGCCTGTTCAGTCCAGGTCAATTCAATCCCATCTGTGGCAGGGGCTCCACCACCACATGGAGGAGGTCTCTGCACACAGCATCTCACACCTGCCTCCTCCTACCTCAGCAAACAAATCACTTCAGTCCCTTCATGGATTTTTCATCCTCGACGACAGCTTTGCTGTAACTTCTGAGCTCCCTCTTTCCTTGGCAAAAATCAGCCTTACTGTGGCAGACAGATATTTAGGGTAGATCCTCACTCATATTGCAGTAACTCACTCCCTTTCCCATCACACTAGCTAAACTCCAGAGGCTTCATTAAAACCTCACACTGCTCACCATTCTTCACCTTCATAACACAGGGCAATGCTGTGCACTGTTTAGCTTGGCCCATCCAGGACATGAGGAAAGAGCTGTTTATTTTACTTAATTACGTGTATAACATCTAGCACAAAACAGCCCAGTGACTTGACTCCTTGGCTTAAACACAGGTCACTAAAGGTAATGTGCACAGCCCTGGCCCTCACAACCATCTGACTGTCACATTCCCCTACCATGGCTGAGAGAGCAGGAAAACATGTCACCGAGCAACTGCAYAAGCTGATCATTCCAAGAGAGACCGCTTGTAAGGATCCATTGCATCATATTTCTGTCCCTGACACTGTCAGCCGCTTTGGCCACACAGAATCCTTGCCAATGCCACTGAAAATCACATCCTGTACATACAACAGACCTATCTGCCATGGAAAACACACCCCTGACTTTCTCTGCTAGTGACATTCCTGGATGGGAAACAACTTGCAGCACACTACTGAGACAAAAGGCAGACATCAAGACACGGTGGTAAGGCTGTCATGGCCCAAGGCAGCCACATGGCTTGGCCCAGCCCTGGAGACAGGTCCCATGTTGCTACTAGAGACAGATCACACTCACTAATGATATTGCTCCTCACTCCTGCTCTAGGAAGAGCTGYGATGATGGCTCAGATCACCAGAAAGCTGTGCCACCTGTTTCTCATAAATCCTAGTCAGAGGAAGGGCCACCCAAACAACTCAGGAGAAAGGAACGTGCATTGGGCTGTTGTGAAACAGCCAAGATCAGTACAAAGTGCCTGTCAGGCAGGACATGGGAAGGCAGGTAAGACACAGGGATGTAGACAACCAGGTTGATTTATTACACACAAGAAATAAGATTTCCATTTTTTAAAAAAAATCACTTGTGGATATTGATGCTGGTTTTACAGGATTGGCCTCATGGTGACAAAATCGAAGTTGTATGACTCTGGCAGGCCCTGGTGTTGTGTGCGGTTGAACCGTCTCCAGGTGAAGACAGGGAGCCCGCCCTGCACTGGAGGACCATTGATGGCAGAGGCTGTGAATGCTGCAGCCAGGCGGAAATCTGACACCTGGAACAAAGGACAGGAACCCAGGACAAAAGGGCAGCGTGGTGCTGGACACATCCCCATCCCGGACAGCAGGAGCAGCTCCAGGAGATTTGGTAATAGTAAAGTAAGGGAAGCAAGCAGAGGGAAACGCACACGGGCAGCAATTCCTCCCCTGTGCAGAGGCACCTCCAGCCACACAGCAGTCAGTGCTGAAGGGCAGCAGCAAAGCAAAAGCCCACACTTGCCCTCTAGTCCTTGTACTTGCCCGGCTGAAAGAGCCAGTGCATCTGCCCTCAGGACAATCCTCCCTGGGTTGATTGGGCTGCAGCAGGGGTCTGCYTAAGTTCTGCTGCATGTTGAGCACTTGGACCATCCCCTGGGACACATTAGGGTAATTCAGGAATGGGGAAAGGCAGCACAGAGTTARTATTGTTACCCATACTCTGCCCTGTTCCTTCACTGTCTTCAAAGAGGTCCCCAGCCTGCTCCATCTTCCCAAACTCRGACACTAAAATTGCCTTTAGGGTTTATAATTGAACAGGTTTGGCCTCTGCTCTGGGTTATTTCTTTCAATGCCCCTCTTAGGCCCCCWTTTCCAACCCCAGCCCAGTCCATTGCCCTTGCCTAACTGGGGCAGCTAAGGCACCACAGTATGCACTGACCACTCCCCTACCAGACCCCTCTGTGCAGCCATTTTCTGCATCCCTCYTGCATCACCCAGCCTGGAAAGCCTCCCATTGTCCACTGCAATAGCCAGCTGACCCAAGCTTGGGCAGCAATGGAGATACCAAAGTAGCCTCCCCAGGCCCCTCCTACCAACCAATCTTGTAATCCAGAAACACAGCTGGACCCCAGAGGATAAAACACTGTACAACTTGCCAGGACAGCAGGGCTAGATAGCTGCTTGTTTGGGCATTACCCTTCACAGTGAGAATACCATATAACTTGCCTAAAATAAATCCTGCTTTCTCCAGGATAATGGATCTAAGAATTTTCCCACACCCCCCTAAAATGCAAAGCGATCTTCACCAAACTTTTCAGAAAACAGTTAYGCAGAGAGGTGGAGCCCCAGAGCAGGATAGCTCATTATAGAGCCAGGCTGTTGTAAAAGTAAAGCTAAAATGACACTGCAACCACATTCCTGTGGGCTCTGGGAGGCACCCACACAGTCCCCATGAACTGGAGGTTGAGGCTGTACAGTCACCTTCCCTGAGTGAGCTGAAGACTCATTTCCTGGTATAAGGCTTTGGGGTTTAACCCCTGAACACCACAAGCTCCCATGGACATAATTGTTTCACACACCTTCCCTTGTATCCTCTGACACTGTGTCAGGACTGATGTCATTGACAGGAAATGAGACTCTGCAGAGAATTCCCATCTGAGGATGTACCCAAGCACTGGGACAGCATGAAAGGAGGGAACAGACATGCCTGGCCATGCTTGCCATAGTGCAGGGAAACACGCTACAGGTCTGACAGGAACACAAACAAGCTGCAGCAAACATTCAGCAGATGTTGAAATGGAGGTAATTTACCTTGGAGTCATAGCAGCCTGCAGGCACTGGTAAAGAAGGATTCAGATCTTCCCGGCAGCAAATGGTGTTGCAAGGATTGTGTTCAGCATAAGGATCACGCTGATAGTCTGGGGTGAAATGTGGTGGTGGGGGACGGAAAGAAAATTAAAGAAATTAAACCCCTCACAAAAAGATGATGCCAAGTACAGGAGCCACTAAARGCTGGGTAACAGCACCCTGTCACATTGCTCTTGTGCTTCTCCCCGGTACCAGCTACAAGCCAGCACTCAAGACAGGACATGAAGTAGACAAGCTCCTAATCCACAGCCATACAGCTACTTCTGCATCCCTGCCAACCTCTAACCACAAACACCTGCAATTCCATCTGATGAAATTCCACATGACGAAAACTTGTAGAAACTTTGTCAGGAGAGAAAAGCAGAAGAGAAAGGGAAGTGGCGGGGTGGGAGGAGAGGAGGACGTGCAGCAATGAGAGCCTTTGTTTTCCTGTTCGSGACTAAAATAAGTGTCAAGGAGCACCCACTGCAGTAAGTGCAAGCCAGGAGGGGAAGGTGGACGAGCCTCAGTATCTACGAGCACACCACTATTCACAGTCCAGACAGGAACGATACCCCACCCGGGGAGAGGCCTCCCAAACCTCAAGCCCAGTAAACAGCCAGCTGCCTATAACTGGGAATAAAAATATAGCATCTAAAGCTATCAGTACTTTGAGATGGGCTTAGCTAGAAGTTAATTAAGAAGGGTTTAATCCAGTTGAGGAGAACCCTGTCAGGAATAAACAGCAGAATAAACAACCTACTGTCCTGGTTCAACCCCTGCAACTAAGTACCACACAACTGCAATACACACTTCCCTCCAAACCTCACCCTTCATGGGATGGGGAGGAGAATCGGAAAAAGGTAAAACCCTTGGGTTGAGATAGCAGTTTTAATAACTGAAGTAGAGTTAATAATAACAAAATAATAAAAATTAAAAAGGAGAGGGAGGGAGACAGAAATAAACCCCAAGAGAAACAAGTGATTCACAATACAATTGCACACCATCTGAGCTGACCAATGCCACGCCTACCCCTGAGCAGTGATTAGCCCCTTCAAGCCAATTCCCCCCAGTAAGTATAAGGCTCAGTGGTATGGAATATCCCTTTGGCCACTTCAGGTCAGATGTCCTAGCCGTGGCTCTGCCAGCTTCTTGTGCATCTACTKGCTTACAGAGCAGGGAAAACTGAAAAGTCCTTGACTAATCAACAACTAAAACATGAGTGTGTTAAGTGATACTTAAACTATCAACATTAATCTCATACTAAATGCAAAACACAGTACTGTATTAGCAATTAAGAAAATTAACTCTATCCTACCTGCAAAAGACCATCTGCCTGATTTAAGTTTTATATTAAATTCTCTGGTCTGATCTCATCTAACTGTTGCTTAGAATTTAAGGGTTTCAAGATTGACAGGCTGTAGATGTATTAGGTCACAGCAATCCACGGAGTCTCTTGGATTACTCTCTCTCTTTGAGTCAGAAGCTTTCTGGAAAAGTCATAAAGAAAGCCTATGGCTCTTATTCTTGAGAGAGCAATTTTAACCTAGTTTCCTACCTTGAAMATAAGCATGTGATTTTGCTTTTTGCTCTGTGTGTATTCTGTATTTAGGGCAATGTAACTGATCTGTATGTGAGGCTGCAGCTTCCCACCACAATACAAGAAATAAAAGTAAKACTGCTTATTAAGATCAGCTCCACAGCATACAAATATGTTTCTTACTGTTGTATCTCATGATGTACTTCATGCTTTCCAAGTTGGTCACCTTGCCCTGGTCTCGACGGAAGATTTTTGCTCTTGGAGCAAGTTCATAGGAAAAATCCATGCCGTACTTGGCAACGTATGATGCATACCCACTGAGATTGTAAATCTTTTCATGGAAAGGGATATTGTATGAAGGCCAGTAACCTGCCAGAGACAAAACCCAATCTGTTAATCACTTAGAAAAGCTGGATCCTCTTGCTTATATCAGAAAAGAAAATAAACAAATTTTCATGTTGCATTGCCTTAGCAGGATGTCGAGGAACAACAAAGAAAACTGGTTTGAACACAATAAGGCACCAGTGACTGGCATGACTGGGGTTGACTCCCAGTGTAACACTACCAGAGACTGTCCATATCCAGGCAACCCGCCCCCAGACTTCCATGCTCAGGACTCATCCTGCAAAACAGCTGAGATCACACCTGCAGGAGCCTGATGTGAACATGCAGCACAGCCACAGCCCTCTTGCAGAGGTTTCTCTGCTGAACCACAAAGGACTGCAAGAACATTTACCTCCACCAAAMTTCAGTGAGAGGCTTGAAGTCACTCTGGTTTTGCCCCCTTTCCGTGTCACCAAAGCAGAATAAGACATCATGCTGAGATGTCAGGGATGGACTGGCACACATAAACACACATAGACAGAGCTACTCAGGGTGAACAGGAAGCAGGCCAGCACATACACGCTTTGTGCCGTAGGGATTGCATACAGTGATAAAGAAAGATGGGGGGATTGCTGCACATTTGCCAGTACATGTCTTTGAAGGTTAAGAAGTGATTGATCAGCAGAGCAGAGCCCTGCTCTAACTTCTCCAAAAGCAATCCTGCAGTTTTGTTAATACTGAAGAACAAAGGATACCCAGCAGAATTCCAGAAAAGAGTTTTAGGTAGGTAACATAAAACTGTCTGGTACAAGACCACTGTAGAAAGCTCTTTTAAAGAGCCAGGAGACCTTCCAGGGTACAGGAAGTCCTGGAATAAGTAAGAATAGATATCTATACCTAAACATTTAATTTTTTATTTTAGGCAGTGAGTATATAACATGAGCTAGGCCCAACAGTAGCACACTTTCGAACTCTCTCCAAAGCACCAACATTCCCTGTTGTTTATTCTCAAATCACACACATCAGCATTTTTACTATCCAGGCACTGGTAAATGCAGTTTACAGTGCATATTAACATTAGCCAGCACAATGAGAAGAGTCTGGCTGGAAGGTGTTCAGGAGAATCAACTGGAATTCACTGGGAGCAATATATGCAAATAAAAAACAAACCTGAAGGACAGATATGCAGACAGCATAAGCACTGGAACACTGCCTGGGCAGAAGCCTSTCACCAGTTTGGGTCCTGCCTAGGATAGGGAAGACAGGAAGATCCTGTCTGCTGGCATTTGCTTACGTGACCTAGAGCCTACCTGAAGGAAATAGGTTGTGTACAAGCTGTGTTGTAATACAGGCTTCCTCCAGAAATTAACAACTTGCCAGCCTCTAACGAYGCAGGCCGGAGGATACGGATACAGCGGCTTCCAAACCAGCAGGGCTTAGCTGAGATTCAAAAAGGTGCTATTGTCTTATACATGAATGCAGTGTGTAGAGATGACCCCTTTCTCCCACCTGAAAAAGCTTTTTTATTAAAATTGCTAAAACAGAGGAAGCTATTTAAATTCTTCCCCAGCAAGAGCTCTTCTGCATCTTGGGCTCTGCAAGACTGAAAATCACATGCAGAGAACATAGCAGTCAACCTAAGCCAGGCTTTACCCAAGGRCTGCTATAAGCCAGTGAAACCTGGCAGGCTGCACAGGGACAAAAAAAGAGTCAAGAGAGGGTGTAAGACTGAAAGGGTGGGGAGGAGGATGACATGAAGGCAGCAAAAATTCCCTGAATCAAAATGCTTTCCTCCTCTACCCATTTGGTGCAAAAGACATCAGCAATATTGAGAGATAGAGCAATCAGAATATTGCACATAGGGTGGAAGACACTGAGRTCCCAGGTTTTGCTCTGATGTGTTGCTTTTGATATATCACTCTTCACCAAGAAACATGAACTGCAGCCCACTCCTGTGACCTATTCCTTCACTGGAGATGATGCCTGATGATTTTGCTTTTCCTTTTTACACTTGCTKTACCCTCTATGCATCCCCCTGTACCCCTTACCCTGCATGTTTATAATTGCTGTAGACTGATATTCCWGCTTAGTTTAGGAGTTCTGCTGGGCAGAGAGACCAAACATCCTCAGGAACGAGTCAGTGTGCTGTGTGCTATCTTAAACCCGAGGCTGCAGCCTTGGGTGAAGCCTTCTCTCCGGAACATCTTGTGTAATCTGGGCTCTGGCCTCATCTGGGGGGGATTCAGTAGAATAGGAGGACATTACTGCATTTGTTAAGTTTCTTATTGGGGAATCCTAGATAGATATGCTAATTCCTGAAATCTATAAAACTTGTAYCCRTGCTGTACACRGGTGTGCATTCTGCCATCAAGTTGTGCACCTGGGATCCCAAATACCGAGGTAAAACCCTTTTTATCCCCTTAACCATGTCTGTGTCTTATTAAAAACTGGCCATTCAAGGCAACAGAGACAGTGTTGCCCTCCCTCACCTCCTCTAAAGGATTCCTGAGTTTTCTTTGTCAACGTACAGAAAACATCTGGACATCTTTGCCTAGAAAGGGCAATGTAAGAGATGCCTGGTTTTGAGAACTCACCTGCAATGGCCTACAAAACAAGATGACARAAGCCATAAAGAGAAAAATCTTTCAGTTTTCAAACCTGCATAAGGAAATGCTTCCTTTTTCCTCAGTACTACAGCAATACCTGCCTTTGTTTACCTGATATTTCAATACTTATTCTCTGTTGTTTCTAGGTTTATGCATCCAAGAGACTTAAAAAGCCAATGCAGGTGGCAAACTCACTCTGACCAAACCAGAGTGTCCGAAGTGCATTATCTTTGGATACCAGCCACAAGGCAATGATGGAGTGTGCTAAGGTCAGCTATTCTACAAACACTTTAGGCCAGCCTGGCTCTTGAGAAAGGTAAACCTCCCTCACCTCAGCTGCTCCAAGCACCTGGGAAGAGGGCAAGGATCTCCATGGGACTTGTCTTGTGTCCTGCATGGCATGGAGGAGTCCAGATCTGCTGCATCCAGGAGCAGAGTTAGCTTAGAGCAGCTGAGGTCTCCAAAACTGCATTTTGGCGGTGTTTAGCCCACCCTTTGTGCTGAGGGCTGTCCTTCTAATGTTTAAACTCCCAAAGACTGACTGCTCTGTTTTCCAATACAAGGTGCATTTAGGTATCTGTGAAAAGGCATATGGTAGGTGTGAAGTAATGTGCAACCTCTAATCCATGCTGCCACCTTTGAGAACAGAGCAGCTACAACTCTCAGGGGGAAGAAGTGGTCACTGTGTGTCCAAGCCCAGGAGCTGGGCTCATCCTACAGGGAATGCCACACAGCTGCTCCAAAATCACTGCCAAAAAGGAACTCGGTGCAGCTGCCAAGCCTGGCCTCTCTGCACAGCCATGATGGGGTTACAGTGTTTCATGTACCACAGCTAGAGAGTCTCTTATCAGCTTCCTTGTCTGCACCTCGTGCACAACACAGCATTTAGAAGCACAAGGCAAAGGAAGCCAAAAGAGTCAGAAATGTTTAAGGGACAGGCACAGGACTTCTCCAAATTATCAATAAGAAATATATATAAAAGCATACTGACAATGTGGCAATCCCTAGAATAAGCCAGAACTTTCCAAGAAGCTAGACACAAGGGAAATTTTCAAAGGGAAACAACCCCAGCTGCTAACATAGGTAAATTTCCCATCATTTTGATGATGAGCAATTCATTAATTTAACCCCTCAGCATGTGATCAGAGGAAGGAGCACAGAGCACCAGACACATTTAAAGCTCAGGCTTTTTGTTGCTGATGTGTCTAGTAAACACTTGTGAATTAAACCTGAGAGTGAGTGTTTTGCTTCACCAAGATTTTTCTTTGTTTTCCATCAAGTAGTTGCTAGTCTTGCTAAGAAATTAAAGAATCTTTTAAAGAGCAGAAAACAGAGATCCAGAAAAGTTCAGGAGATTAATTTAACATAGAACTTCTTTGGTATTCAAAAGTTCATCTTCTTGAAGGGTGACCCGCTTAATAACCATTTCAAGTAGCCCATAGCATCASTTATTTAATATTGCTCCAAACAGATCTCACATTTTACCTCATCAATCTCTAAGACAGAGCAAAATAATATCAGAAAAATGGCAAGGAGGCAAGCAAAGGAGAGTCTATTTTTCCCTGCTTTGCCTCAAGGAGACAGAGATGCTCACTGAATTGCTGTCACAGCATACCTGCTAAATGAATGCATTGCAATTGATGCAGATACAGAGGGATGCTCACACAAAGCTTCCTTACTTTAAACTCAGTACTAGTGGTCAACAAACCCTTCCCTCGTAAAAAGCACAATTCTCAGTCAGCAYAAAGAGATGGTTGTCCTAAGCCAATAACTACTCTAGGAGCTATTACCTTTCCGGAGAACATTTGTTTGATCAGAATACTCCACAAGGGTTGGGATTTGCTCAACAATGTACAATGCACCATCATCAAGGCTCCTCTGCAGCTTGACCTTCTTCAGGTCTAGAACCATGTACTGATTGTTGTAGGTTCCTGGGTAKGAGAGCAGAGAGAGTTACATGCCCTGCCAGGGGAAAGAAAAGTGTACAAGAGGTAGAGGGAATACATCTTTTTTCCYGCATATGAAGATGCACTTACCAGAGTTGCACTTTGAGAAGGTCTCTGCCCAAGTTCTGCCATCATTTGCCATCATGTTGGCAATGCGGACCCTCTGCCAAGCTAACAAGGATTCRGGCACCACTTGCTTAATGAGGGTTTGGTTGTAAACACTGTTGGTAGTCTGCAACATTACCAAGCCGCTGCCCAGTATGTAAAAGTCATCCAGGGACACCAAAAAGCCTTAAACAGAAATAACACAGAATTTGTAACCTTTGTGAACCTTTGATATACTCATAGAACAAAACAGAGAGACAAGCCATGAGGATATGAATGAGTCGATGAATGTGTGCATGAAATCAAACTGTACAAAGATTAACAGTGAGGAAGTAACTTCTGCAAGAGCTTCAGGCCCACCTGTCAACACAGTTTGAAATGAGAAACCGTCACACTTTCAAGACACCCAAGTCTTTGTCTAATTCATTTGCTTTGTGTTTATATGYGAAGCTTGGAAGTTCCTCTGTAAGTCAACCTGTGTCTTATCCTTATGCTGAGGATTACATACAATAAATGCCTATTTGGTGTTTGTTTCTAACAAAGAAATGAACTAGCAAAATATAAAAATCCAACAATAAAAACCAAAGCAAAGTACAAATTTCACAAAGATGTTTTCATCAATCAGTTTCAGATTTTTACTCTGTAAAGACAACAGAAATTAATTTAATTCATGTGAAGTTATCCCCTTAATTGATCCCTTCTGTATTAAATCAAACAGAAAAATCTTCCTTCTAGTTTAATCTTTTTCCATCTAAGTGTTCTTAAAAGCATCTCCAAGAAATGGGTATACCTCTTAAATCATAACCCACATCTTGTATATGAGGAGAAGTTCTCTCTAATCCTCTTTCTGATATGCTGTCATGGGGTTTTTTTTATGCCTACCAGCTCTGCAAAGTCAATACAGTGATGGATTCCTTACTGAGTTACATGCCAACAGAAATACTAGGTCSAGTTGCAAATCCTTCACCAGGAGGTGGCACACAGAGCTGCAAAGGTCAGCTATGCCTTGGATAGCACAGGGACTACTTGTACAGCAGAAATAATTTGTCTTTTACTCAGCAGACACATGGCTGCCAGGTTGGGGGAAAAGGTTGTTGACTGTGCTCTGGATGGGGAAGTCATACAGAACCTACACTCTCATTAAGAAGTTTTTAATAGTATCAACTGTTCAAAGAGTACAAAATACAAAAATGCTGTGCAACACCATAATAGTTGAGTTCCCTTATGAAATCTTCTACAGCCAGCTTTATTAACTCACTCTGCAAACAAAGGTCACCRACCTATGACAGCAAGAAAAACAGCCCAGCTCTGCCTCCTATTCTTGCACTTTTATACAAAGGCAGACTACCTTCAAGCAAAAGTAATATTTAAGGGCCCTATTTCAGCAAAATTTCTTTAAACTTGCAAGTTCTCAAATTAGAACAGATCCAGGAAAATACACTTTTTAGTCACTTGCTCCCCAAAAACATATAAATAGACAGAGCACCCTGTCAGCTGGTATTTTACTCATGAAGAGAGAGTCAATACATTCTGTATATCAGCAGCAGACATTTCTCTCAAATAAGTAAGGACAAGAGAAACACCCTAAATCTGGCTCTGCCAGTCTGTTTTATACAAAGGCATKGGATAATCCAGCAATAAACTGCTGCATAACAAGTCAAGTGCTTGCCCAAACAGAGACAATAAATGAAATTGTTAAACAATTTTGATGTGAATTGAGCATCAGTTCCTATGGGTGACAATGATAAGTGTCCTACTTCAAAACAAACTGAATTGGTTTTTTATTCAATTTCAGTCAACAGCTGAGATAAAACAGAAAAACTTGACTCAAAGCAAGTGCTAACACAAGGAATGATGCTGAATTAACTGAAAGTTGAACTCTGTAATTCAAATACATTATGAAGCTCAGCTAAGCTGAAAAGAAGGGGATTTCCTTTTGGGCCTTAGTATTTACCAAGTTTTATCCTGCAGTGTTTTATAGCACAACATGCCCTCCATTATACACCATTACTAGCCTAATTATTCCAAGATGGCATATACCATTTTGATTTAAGGCATAGGCAACTCAGGAACAAAGGGAAACTAAAACAGCAGCAAAAGGTTCACCCAGGGTAAAGACATCCACAAAAACAAAACCTGGGTAGAGAAGTCTAGAGATATCAGCAGATATCTGATATCCTCTTGTGCCATTCTTCTCAAGTGTGTATGAGAATCCATTGTAATTGAAAGTTATCTCACTGTATGCTGCTTCTATTTTTTTCTGTAAAACCATCTCTGTAAACMCACCTCTGTAAACCCACCCCGCATTTTTGTCAGGAACACTCAGTCAATTTTGTTTTTCTTCTTTTTTTCACTTCCTCCAATGAGCCTGACATCTCCTACATAGAAACAAGCAAAAGTACTTTGGATTGCATCTTCTGGATCTGAGTCACTTGGATTCAGTTCCCAACCACCACTGGAAAACAGAAGTTTTCAGAGTCTGGAGTTTCACTCATCATGACATTAATCAGCCAAGCAAAGCAAAGTATTTTTTGCACTCTGAGCCCCAGTGTTCTCCAGAAAGTCAGCACATCAAAGAGCATGTGGATAACAGCACATTTCTGGCTGCTATTGTTCCTAAAGAGATAGACTGCTGCTTTCTGAACCAGACAGCATCAGCTTTTTTGGTGTTTTAAAAGGTCACTGTGCTCATTCAAGCACATAGGGTCAGCATTACAGGCTGGAAGTCAAAGCTATAAGGTCTAACCTACCTCTCAGGGATGGGAGCAGCTCCTACTTGAGATGCCCAATGCTCTGGTATATAAACACACTTGAATATAGGAAAATATAGGTATTCTCTATATTAGCAGAGAATCAGCAGCTGCTTCTCATGTCAAGACTGAACACCCAAGAGCTGCCTTCCTGCCATTTGCATGTCTCTCCTAGGCATTAAGCAATAGCATATCCCACACTAGCTCTGGTCTGTMAATTCCAAAGTTCACCAGACACTTTCCTTTGATTTCCTTCAGGCTTTACACTGATGCTGGAGGAAGCAGGGAAGCAGGAATTGGTCTGGCAATCCCTCATGAGTAAGCTGGATCCCTGAGAACATAGGCTACCACTCTTTCCATAGTTTGTTTCCCCCAGCTCTTCCTCAAGCTGTAGGGAAGGATAATGGTGCACTAACACCAGATTACTTAGAAGCAAGGGACACAAACTACTTCTCTGTGTTCCTGCCTTAACAGCACATGTATAGCCATCCATCAAGACAACTTGTGCCCTCTTATTCCCCCATCACAGCCTAGCTCAACCAAGAAATACCCCAACAGTGGACCAGAGGAGGAAAAGTAGCAGTAAAATTCTTTAATTCTTCTTTAAACAAAACAGTTGAATAACTGCTAAAATTAAATTAATATATTTAAAAATACTGTGACTCAGAGAAGATAGTTCACTATCCAAATCAGAATGCTTGGTCAAAATGGTACTTTACTGTTCTTAAATGGAGGTGAAAAGAGCTCCATCCAAATGGATGGAAATCCTGGAAGCTGCAACCTCTTTGCTATCCAAAGAAAATCACAGATTTTATCAGTTAGTTTGGCTCATTTCTTTGAATGCTTCAATGGGCAGTGTAAAGAAGTGACTGGAGCAGGGGGCACAGAGGGAGGAGAGGTGCAGGTTTCTCTCTGATCCACCACCAGATATGTGGTACAAAACACAGCGCCTACCTTGTCTCTATCATCCCTTTCTTACTACCTCAAATGAGCACATCTTCACTCAACAATTGTGAGAAACAGCAACATTTTCTGTAAAATTTGTCTCTGCTATGCATTGRTTCACCAGCCACATGAAGTACTTATGTCCAGAGCTTGAAGAAGACAATGAAGCTTTCAGTGCAGAGACATTCCCCCTTCCAAAGGTTCACAGAACTGTCCTACGTGCAGCCCTGCACAGATGAAGACTGTCAGAGTCTTCTTGTGAAGAGCAGAGTTCAAGTGAGTATTAAGGTGGGTTAGTGTAGAAATGAGCAGCAAGTGAAGAAATCGTTGTGCAAAAACAGAGATTACAAATCCTGTTAATTCCCTCTTGATTGTGTCTCTGCAGCAATACTGCTGCTCTGAAGGGGAGAAAGCAAAGAGAAGATATGCTGTTAACAGTGGACATTTGAACATGGTGACAGAACACTGATAACTGCTAGAGATGGACTCTAATTCCTGTCTGTGCTCCTGCCTGCTCACCCGCAACATGAGCAGAGAAGTACAAGGCCCTCCAGCTGTACCACAACACACACCCTAACACACATCATGGTTAGTCAATAGCCTCAGAACCTCTTAACTGAGTCACAGCAAACACTAATTTTTGCAGTCTAGTAGCCTGTCTTTTGAAATTCAGTAAAAAAAGAAATAATATGGATAATTTCACTCTGTGACCCCAGGAGAAATCATGGATTTGGCACATTCTTTCTCAGAAGGCAAATGACCCCTTAACTTTTTCTGAAACAACTTTTGGACAGCAACATAGTTTTACTTTATATCCAGTCTTACTAGATGAGAAGAATCTTACAATTGCTCCATTAAGTGTCCCTGAAAGCCTGGAAGRGCATCTGTCTTTTAACACTGTTTCCTCCAAAAGTCAATACTTCTATGTTCATAGGATCATGTTACTATTTAGGAGAAATTACTAGGTTGGCCTTCCTTACTGGTCCTTAGTGTCTATCAGGACCGAGAATAAAAGCAGAAWTATTTATGCAGGAAGACATTACAATTGCTGAGTTGAAACATGGCCAGGAACTGCAGATTCCAGAGTCAGATGCCCTGAAAATATAATCTCTCATCATAACAAGTAGATGAATTTGGCAATTCCCTCCTTCCTACATGATGTCCCTAGAGCATTACTAGTGCAGGCCAGTGCTTACTCATCCCATGGAAAACTGCAAGTCTGTGAAGCACACCYACAGCTAATACAATTTGCTGCAGTCAATGGATCATGCTTGTCTAGTTCTTGTGACAGCACCCTGTAATCAGGCAGCCAGTGAGCACACTTTGCATACCACAGGCCTCTCAAACTTCACCGTAGCCATGGGAACTATGCTTTGCAATAGTTYTCACTCAGTTTTGTTTGCACAAGTGCACCTTCCCGCATCACTACATCAGAGTCCACATAGCAACAGGAAGCTTTAAACTAAGCCGTCTCTGCAGACCTCAACACTCCCAGGGAAGCACACTGGGATTGAACAGACTCCAACCATTTCAGAACAGCAGTAGCTGATTTTCAGGTATCCTGTGACACAGGATGCTTTATCAGTCTCATGAAAACAGAATCTTTGTATTTCCTTATACAAAGATTCCACAAAAAAAACAACCAAAAGACATCACCACAGACAGTCACTAAAAAGAAAATAATAAATGCTCTCTGTGGTTGATCTTGATCCCCAGTTTTGAATCTGATGCGAAGTGCTATTATCAGTACTTCTGCTGAGAGATACGAGAGACAGAATAACCTTATGAACATTAATGTGATGAACAGAGCTTGGAAACCTGTGCTTTCCACCTGCCAAACTACCCAGACTTTGCAAAATTCCTTGCAACAAGCTAGCGAGCTAAATCCCTCCAAGGCAATTGCAGGTAACCCAAGCTCTGGAAAGGCTGTACACTTAACAGATATTGAGACTACCTCCACCCCTTCCTCAAAAATCTCAGGTGTCAGAAAATGTTGCATTCCTGAGGAGGGTCACTGAGGAGGGTGGGAATCCCACAGAAAAAGGCCTGTTTTCAATGTGAAATGAATGCAACTGCTTTGTGCCAGGGGTAAAATAGTTAAACCAGTACAGTTAAGAACACTGAAGGTGGTTAATCAACAACAAAAGATGACAACAATATCATGTTCAAGACAGAAAACTGAAGGTGGCATTTTGTCCTCTTGGTGGCTAGAAGTTTTAAGTTTAATTCACTGCTAGTTGAATTACTATCCTTTTCACAGACAAGACAGCTACAAGACAGTAAGGTCATCCATGCCAAATCGAGTATCTACATTGTTTTGGTTTTTTTGACTTTACCTGGGTAACTGCTGAATGAGACACGGCCGGTGCTGGTGTATGGATCAACTATATTGAAGTTCCAATGTTTATATATTCTCAGTGTGGCTGCATAAGTAAACCAGCTGGAATGGGCAAAATATATATTCTCATATCCAGGTAGAACCTGGAAAACAGAAGCATAAAGATGAATAATTACAGACCCCACAATATTCTAATTTTTTCTACTTGAGAGAAACTGGGAGAAATACTTGTTTTAAGTAGTTTGATTAATTGCATTATTGAGGAAAGAGCAGATACTTGTGCTTTTAACTGTGCACTTAAATGAATTTCTGAAACCTCTAGAAACAATTCTTGCCCATGTGTTATTTTCGAAATAAAATACCTTGGGGTTATTTGGATACCTGCATCACATGGTATGTTTTTTTGCTCAGTTTCATTTTGAGTATTTTCACATTCAAATCTTTGCAAACATCACACATTCAGATCAGATCCTTGCAAACATATCCAACATTAATTTTAAGCTGTGAGAATTTCACTGGGTCAATCTGAAGTGAAGTACAGAAGTAATGCAAGAAAATTCAATTTGAAAAGGTAAATATATATTGATAGTACATCTCTTCAAAATATTTCCCTGGGTCTGTGATTTGTTGTTAGCTCAGAAACCACTTGTTGTAGGCAAATGCTTCAATTATTGTTTCTCAGTTAAAGGTGAATATTGCTGCTCTGCGACACATGGAGTCTCCAGATGCTTATTAAATCCTTAATAATTTTAACTGAAAAATGTAATTGCCACCATGATGCATCAGTCACTTATCTTAAAAACATCRCTCCCATTGGAAAGCCATTTAAGACATCATAATATCAGCTACTTGTATCCATTTGTTTTTATGTTACCACTGTCCTTTAGTTTAAGTAATCCTTTTCTCCCTAATTGTCCAATGTATTTGTAGTAACTCACAATACTCCTTTTTAGACTCCACTTATCTAGGTCAAATGAGTTACTCTCTTCCAGTCGCCTCCGGTAATTCCCCATTCCCTGGTATTTCTGGTAGCTTTTCTACCATCCATCTCTATGGCTTTGGTTTGATTTGGTCTTTTCCCTCCCCTTCTCACAAGGTGGGAAAAACTGCAATCAAAATCCTACGGAGGCACAAATGGCTACTGCATATATTCATCTTGATCATTGATAGAAGTCTYTTTATCCACACACAACATAACACAGGGAAGACTCAAAAAATGTTGACTTGTGACATTGCAAATCAACACAGTCACTGGAGATTAAGTCCTGGTACTCACCTTGATCAGTGCAGAGCAGTGTCCCATATCCCACTGGTATCTCCCATGGCCTCCTGGCTCCCCAYTGCATTCTCTACCCCGTGCAGAATAATCAAATAATGCAGGAATAAGGTCCAACAGGTCTCCAACTGCATTCAGAAACTGGACATCAAAGTTGCTCAGTGGCTGAGGAAAGGAGAGAGACCACAAAAAACACTTTGAGACAGAAAAACATCAAGAGAGCCTCAGTGGTTAGAATTTTTCTTTTACTCCCAAAGGAAGTTCTTGTATGGGCTATGAAATGCCTACTGACAAGGCCCAGATGCTCAAACCCAGTAGGACACCAGGCACTGGGGAAACTTTCAAGGTCTGGCCCTTGTAGTGGCATTACCARTGCTATGATTTCTGAGGAAAGAAAGAAGACATAACTGTAACTTATGAAACCTTAGTGCGTATTTGCAAGCAGCATACCAATCAGTCTGCTGTTACTGGTACACTGAGGTAAGAGGAAGATTTTTTTTTTGCTTACCTAGATGCCTTTGGAGAGTCTTACACTAACACTCTTGGGATCCCTCAGATTTTTATAAACACTGCAATTTAAGACAACCTCAAGAGTGAGGAGGTAGRAACAAATGAGGGAAACAACGTTAACAGTACCAATCAAACCAGCTGAAAAAGGAAAATCAGTCAAAAGGAATTCTGCTATGTGCGTTTGAAAACTCCCTGGAGCTAGCCAGGGTTAACGGGGTTACCTACACAGAGCTTGTTGTGCAACATGCTCTTTAGAACTTCTTACATTTCCTCTTCAAAAAATAAGAGCTTAATAGTGATTTAACCTCAACCTTCAAATACTGTTTTCTAAATCTTTCCTGTTCTTGCTTTCACCATGCCTTTAGATAAGGCAAGGCTTAAGGAAAAGAAGTCAGAACACACATCACTGTAGGGCTAGGAATAGTAATTTTAGAATGCCACATAATCATATAGCAAAGAAATACATTGCTTGCAATGTATATCACTGTAATTAAACCATATAGGTGACCTCTCTACAAACCTCAATAAAGGAGGACAAGGAAAAATTAAACAGAATCAAATCCATTTACTTTTTATTCAGAAGGCCAAATTCTGTGTTATCCACCTGCTGTTCTGGCAGAGAGAATAAGCAACAAGAAAACCAGAAATAACGTAAACTCCAGTCCACGTTTCCCAAGGGAAGGAATTGAACCTTYCCCCAATGCTTACAAAGACAAGCAAGAGAAATAAGCCATTCTGACAAATAAAACTATTCATGGCAGAAGCCCCCACAGCAGCTACAGTTTGAGGAAGAAATCCAAAACAAACTTTCATGTGTATTACATTGCTTTAGTTCATCATGTTTTTGCTGTAAGGATCCAAACAGGGAGCAACATCAAAAGAAGTGTCTTTGGATAGTTTTAAGCAACTTAGAGGCATGAATCATTTACAACCCAGTCACAACTTCTATTTCATTGGAATCAATATAGAGAGACTGGCGCTCTTTTAGCACTATTTCCCCCCAGCCAGCTGCACTGAAAACCCACCACACARTACAAAAAAAGCTATTTTTCCAATGTCTGATTCTCACAAGCATTACTGTAGAGTACCACCAGGAAGGGAGCAAACTGGCTTGCATATGAGATTGCTCAACCAGCCCCAACACCTTTTAATTGTACTTGACATCCATTTGCTGCACTCCATATTCTCCTTCATAAAACCTGCCTTCACTATAATATCTACAGGTAGCTACATTGATACTGCTTCAGCGTCAGTGAGAATTGCCTGTATGTTTTTAAAAAGTTTCACATTTCTGTGCTTTCTTACAGTCACTCCAAGTCAAAACATCTATAGCTATAAGGAAATCCATTCAAATTAGAACAAATGTGGCAAGCAACGAAGTTTTCAGAATAGGCACAGAAAGGTGCCCCGAGAGCAGTAAGTACTCAAACAAAGTACAGGKATGCAAATTCCTAAGGCACTGGGGGAGATAAGGCTGCCAAAGCCAGCTAAAATATCAAAGATGCAAAAGAGGGACTAGGTTGTTAAACACCTTCTAGGGTTCTGTTTCATTCCCCTTTTGAGGGCCAAGCAATTTTTTCCCCATTTATTTCCAAAAATTCATTACTTTCCTTGAATAAATCTGGTTTTGTGTTTAAGACCATCTGATATGACATCACATAACCACAGTGCTTCTCTGGAGTGCCAGTAAAACAATGCATTCAAACAGAAGACTCAGGAATCTGCRCTGGAGGCCAAATCTGGAAATTTCAGGAGTGGTCTGAGGCATCTGCCAAAACAAGGCTGAGAGCCCAGTTTTGGAAAAACTACAGCTGATTTCCAGGATATATGGAGAAACCTTCTCCATGAGGAGTTAATGAGTGTCCACTAGCAAGAATTAGACCCAAAACACCGTGCATCATAACAAGTGCATAATATAGGGCATATTACAATTATCACCCTCTCTCATCTCACACAGCAATGTCAGGAAAACTCCTTATATACATGGTTTACATCCTGAAGAAGTGTGAATGAATGAGCTAACTGACAAGAAAAGAGGTGGTAAAGCCACAGCAAAAATCCTTTTGTTAGAATGTGTGGCTCTCCAGGGTACTGTCCTAAACAGCAAAACAAAAAAAAAAATCTATTTGAGTTTGAGTTACATCAGAGGTAGGGAGAAATAAACTTACAAAGGGCAGCAAGAAGGAGAGAACCAACCTTAAAGGCTTGTTTACATGGGACATTAGAATGGGCAAGTTATTCTGTAACAACTGTTTTCCATTAAGTTCTCCAAGCCTGAGCATTCTCAGTACAAAATAAGGAAGTACAAATAGAGAGCTATACTGGAGTCATTCTAACATTTAAAACTCTGACACCTCCTTATTCAAGGGTAATATTCCTATGCAGACAAGCCCAAGATTAATCACAGCGTTGGCAGAGCATTAGGCAGATGAAAAGGCTTTGTGTTCTTTGAGTGCCCCTCCCTCAGAAATTGTCTTGACACAAGGGTTGGGTTTGTTTATGGGATATAAAATGTTGCTAAACCAGATGGAATAATGTCACACTTTAACATGAAGATGTATTCAAATTTTGACATCACTCATAAGGATACCTGTAAATATCAAATTCAAAATACAGAAATTTACAAAGTACATTGCCTTCATGCAGATCTTATGGAAGCACCTACCTGAAATAGTCCTCAGGGAGACAGATTTCATGCAATTGAAAAAAAAAAAAAGTTTAGAGCAGCACACTACAAAGAATTTGCTTCATAAAAAATATATACTAGTGCTACTATCAAACCACTCATAGTCCAAATGTTCTTCCTGCACTAAAACCCAATTATTTGTGGCAGACACAATGGTTCTACAATAGTCAAGTGAAGTACATCTGAAGTTTGGGGGAGAGCAGAAAACCAAAACATTTCAGAGTGACTTGTGTGCATATAACACAACTCTCATTTAAGCAGCATCTGGATCTGGTTTCAAACTACCATGGATAGTACCAGACAACAGAAAGTCAGACCTGTCATGTGCCTTCCTGAAAGTGCACATCAACAAATCCACCATGTGTAAAATTTCAACCCCTTGCAAGTTTGAAATGGTTATGTGCAGTGCTGAAAAGTAAACTTGGAACATTAAATGTGTAAAATTCAAAGCAGATAAGCTGTGAAACAGCTTGTTCCCATTCTCATGAGAAGGAAACAGTTCTATAAACCTTTGTCCTGTGCTCAGCCTTACAATCCACAGACTTGGGAAATACAGTTCCTTTTCTTCATCCCCTTTATCTCTTTTAGCCTATTCTTGTCAAGCAAACAACTTCTCAGTGTTCAAGAGAGCATTTTGTCCATGATCATTCACGGTGCAGGGGAACATAAGAACTTTGGAATCCATCTCCTCCTCCCCTTCTCTTTCTCATGATACTATATTTTGGCAGCTAATGGAAAAAGCCTTTCTTCTATAGCATTTATTCTTATTTTAAGCTTAAGAGAGTGGGAACAATTGCCTTCTAAATATACAGAATAATTAGTTGAATTTAGAAGCTTTCCCAAAAGCAAGCAGAACAGCAGAAAATCAGGCAACAAAATACAGACTGCCATATGTCGGGTTTTGGTTCGGTCTGGTTTGGCCTTTGGAGGGTCTYTTGTTTTGTCTGGGAGTGGGTAAAGAAAGGAAAATAAAAGCACCACAATTCACACACGAGGTATTTTTAATATTTCTGATGTTCATTACCACCTTGAAACCAAACTACTGAACTACTAGAGATCAAAAGTTAAACTTGTTCCTGATGATGATAATCTGAAGACAATAGACACAGGGGATTCTTTTTTCAGTGAAGCAAAACAGWATCTGCTAAAGGAAAGAGGTAAGAAGAGACTTCCAAAGCACTAAGGAAAACATGCAATAGGAATGGGATTTGCTTTTAAARACATGCAGAACTTGTTACAGAGACTTCCAGCAAGAAATTTCTTTGACTTCTTTTTTTTGAGGTGAGAACTGAGTAATAGAAAAGTAAATATTTGTTACTGGAGTTGTCAAAAAAGTACCAAAACAATTGAACCAAAGTACGATACTTAAAAACAAGAAAAAAAATATCTACTAGGTGAATTTATTTGCATATCTGGCACATTTCTTTAATCACAAGGAGTAAGGAAGATACTGGTGGTGTTTTTGCTTGTTTGGTTGATTTGTGAGCTTAGTTGGGGCTTTTAAGTGCCAACAATTTACAGAAGCTGGGTTGATCTCAGATAAATGGATGTGTCAAAGCTAGAATACTAGCCAGAAATTTTGCATCTGCACCTGTTTTTATTAACCATGTAAGCTCAGAGAAACTGTTTTCAAGCTCTGTTTCCTGAAGAAGCTCATAATAGCAGTAAATATGTACACACATAGCACTGTCATAGCCTAATCTCCCAAAAGTACTTGAAAAGTAGCATGGTATCCAACAAAATGAACTTCCTGTACTTTTACAGAACTCTCAGGTATTATTTGGATGCCAAGGAAAACAAAGGACCTAGCTGCAAGAGCAGCTGTACTCAAAAATAAGCACYAATGCTAATTTATTGGCTGTGGCAAAGAGAGGAAACAGCAGCACCATTTCAAGTAACAAACAGATACACAGTCAATGTTTATGCTTTGAATAAAACTGTATGCATCTCAACATAGATAATAATGTCCAAAGCTAAAATTGTGACTGGCATAGAAAAGAGTCAAAATAAATCCCACCAACTGCTCCAAGCACATTTGGGAATCCCTGCATATAATTCAAGAATGGAGGAAACAAATATTTCATCCTGAACCACACATCTGAACTTTCACTAAATGCACCATTTTTATCTAGACATGCTGGTAAGACCCCTAAAAAGAGGATAAAAATTATTCAGAAATTTTAGAGGTCAGTGCTTTTAATATAAAATGCATAGTTAAATAAGCAAGCATCAGGGAACACATCATGCAGGTAGGACATGCCTATTACAAAGAAATAACTCAGACACAAACCAGCACTCTTCCCTTCCCCCATATGAATCCAAAAGATTCTGAAGCAGCAAAAAGAGCTTGACAGGGCTCTTCAGACACAGGTGTTATGAAAGGAAATKAATGTGTTCTTTTCCTAGAAAGTCAAGGTTTCTAGTGTTTTCCCCTAAAACTCAGATCTCTCAGAATGGATTATTAATACAAACACTTTTTTTTTCCAGTCTGAGCTGGCTCCTCATTCATGAAAGCCTCAGGGTGAATTGAATGCAAGAAAGTTGTACATTTTACTAAAATGCAATTGCTTACAATTCAGGACTCCCAACTTCTCAAAATTCTTGGTATAGTTAACCTGGACAAGTAGACAAGTCGACTACAATTACTCAAGTCCTTCCTCTCACACTGAAAAATCTATTAGACATTAGACTTTAGGACAGCATTATAATTGCCATATCTCTACTGGAGTTAAAGGAGTTCTGCTATTATTTACAAGATGATGATCTGGAATAAAATTCTAATTGAAATTAAAGAAAAACAAATTATGAAAAAAAACCCACCAAAAAACTAACAAAACCATCACCAAGCAAAACCCCAAAACTATCCCATCAGACCAGCCACAACACAGACCTATCCCATCTGTACCACCAACACAGATACACAGACCGTATCTTTCGTAACCRTGTATTTTTGAGACTTAAAAGACAGAAAAGGAGAAGTCATTTMCTTAAGTAAGACATACTCTAAAATAGAAAGGCAATTAGCATTTGAAATCTAATGCTTGGAAATAAGAATGAAAGCTTTAATGCACTGCCTACATGCTGATTCATGCTGTTGCAGGTACTCTTCATACCAAAGGGTCATTTGCTTAATAACAATGTAGCTAGCGCTTTAGAAGTGTCCCTCCTTCCAACAGTCACATGGATACAAAAGCCATCCCCAACCTAATCACCCCGAGTGCCCAGGGTTCCAAGCCCCTTGTGAAGAATCTGGTTACATGACCCAAGTGTTCAGTCACATTATCTACACTGAACAGCCACCGCAGATTTTGCAGAATGGTATGCAGAATGAGTACTTGCCCCTAAGTATCCTACTATTGTTTTTTATTTTTAAAAAGAGGATCCCTTTCTCCCATGTTTGTCCACTGACATCCCAGCCCCAGCTACTAAAAAAGAGGTGCAATAGTCTTACTGTTTGTTTATGTAGTTTAGCCCATTCGAGGGCTCCCATGTACAGACCATCCAACTGTGCAATAATATAGCCAGCATGCCTCCAAAATGGGTCATCCTTATTATTTCTGATTTGTTGTCTTGTCCATTGATCTTGCTTCCTGCAGAGGAACAAACAAGTTGGGGTTTTCTCAGGTTTTTTAGACTGTAATTGATAAAGCAGGGAAGGCACAAATACATTATGACCCAGATGATCCAATCTTATTAGAGATTTGAGGCAAATCATGCTTTGAAAAGCCTGCAGATACAAACGTTATATCCTCCAAGTGTAAACGTTCAGACTTATGCAAAATACCCTACAATCATATGCCTCTACCAGATTTTAGTGTCAAAGAGCTGGACTCCCTGTTTGCATGGGATTTAGCTATATCCAATCTACCATTCCCATATAGTCAGTAAAGGGAAGCAAGCATTTGAGAGGTCATACAAACCATTCCCTTTTAAACTTCTATTTAAGAATAAAAAAAATCAACTGACATTTGAAGAGCCTCCTTCTCTCCTCCAGGTTCAAGTGCAATGAAGGCTTTCTGCTGGTGGTACTCAAACACTGCCTGAGAACTGCTGCTATGCTCCTCTGAGTAACAGGTAGGAGGCCAAACCAATGTACTCTGTGCCAAATAACCCAGGTTTAGAGCATGAGGCAACACTGAACAGACCCTAGAGCAAGAGCCASCAGCATTGTAAGGATCTCTCAGAGTTCTGTCTTTCACTGTCCACCAAGGGCCACAAAAGAAGATAGGAAATGAGAACCAGATGCTGGCCTTTTCCACCTTCCTGTGTCTATCCACCCAGCACTATGTAAAGTAGCAAAACAGAGAGACCAAACCAGTTAAGAAAGCAAACTCTTCCAGCAGTATATGGTTGATAAAACCAACYAGAGTCAGCTTTCCAGAAGCAACAYGATGCAAGARGTATGACCAAGGAAATAGGAAATATGTGGAAAGGGCAAAATAAGGCAACAATGGAAAAAAATAGTCTCCATGACCATTTCACACAAGTATTTGTAATGGAAAAAACCACAAGTCTAAGGAGATTAAAATAATTGGTAATCACAGCTGAGTTTCCCAGTACCGGGCCTGGTTCTTCTCCTACTTGCAGTTTCCACACCAGTGTAGCTGCATTATTTGAGCACAATTATTTTGATTTTACAGCTAAAGAGAAAAGTGAATCAGGACTTTTATGATTAGAACAGAATTTATATTAGTGGTAGAATAAAATACTAACCTAACAGAAGAAGAAAAGGATACACAGTACTAAAAACATTAAAGTACCAGTAGACTGCTGTTCAGTATAACACTGAAAATAGCAGCTTTTCAAAATAGGAATTTTACTAGAATGACCTTCAGAGTTCATTGACATTATTCATACACTTTGGCAGTAAAGGTTTTAAACATTTCTTTGAAATAATCAGAATTAGGGAAGGGTATATGCACTTCTTCATGTATATTTAGAATTTCTTTTAATAATAATGGCATTCAATCAGAGGGAAAGAAGCATGTCTTTTCCTCAGCCCATAAGGAAGAGAATAAAATAAGCTTGAAAATTCTGTCATCCTCCAACCCCAAATCTTGACTGATTCATTTTTAGCAAAGAAATACATACGCCATAAAATYCTGAACTCCACTCCGAACGGTGGGAGTCTTAATTAGCTGTGGATACATATTCGCAGCATGGTCATACATTTGCCTGAAAGAACAAGAGTAACAGGAATTATTCTTTTGCATCTTCTATTTACCAACCAGTTAATCAATATGCTTTGACAGACAAGCAACACAGCACACAAAGTAAGCTTTTCCTGCTCACAGAAAATACTCCAGTGCACGCCAAGTAGCAAAAGTAACATAAAAGGATTGTTAAAATTTTACTCAAAATAAATGACTTTACCAATGTCCGCTCAAACTGCTGCACAATGGAAAGAAGATAAGCAAGAATGAGACTGAACTACTTCATAGCAAAACCGCATATTCAGGGAATATTTGTAGGCCAGAAGCATCTTGAATGCATTAGCACTAATTTAAGAACAACAAAAATTGTTTTGTAATATAATTTGCTGACTCAGTTAATTTCAYCATTCCAGAGAGGATTTCCAATAGCGTGATATCTAGCAGCTTTTACTTGCCATTAACCATGTTGCTTTCTGTTTAAGCTAAGTCTCTCCATTTCCAAGTGTGTATCAGATCATCCTACATATTACCACAGAAACTCCCACTCATGGTAGCCCTAAATAAATTCAGCTTCATGGAAACCAAAATTCTTGTGATATTTTCTGTTGTTGAATTCAGTTAGCTGTTTCATCCACATTAGCTATTGGAAACAAAACTTGGAAGAGTTTTGTTGCATAGTTGGTAAGGGCTTTCTGGTTTGTTTTCTTGAAGTGAAGTCCTTCAAGATGAACTCAACTGTCAAAAAATGCTCAGGTGCCCAGAATTAAAGTCAGCCTTCAATTTTAGGTGAAATTTAATTGTCTGATCCAAGCCAAAACACAACTTTAACATTTCATAATATGAGTCCAACTGAACCAACATTTTTTCAGTCACTAATTAAATTTAAAAAAAAAAAAAAAAAAAAAAAAAAAAAAAAAAAAAAAGAACACCAGCAAAAAAGTATTATGATGAGGTCTGGAGTTGATAGAGATAGAATCACATCAGTCATCAGTACATTTATCTCCTATCAAGTGCTAAGAGAAAGAAAACAGCACTGAGAAACAGATACCAGCCTCAAGGAAAGGACATATCAGCAGGGCAGAATTCCTATAGTAAAACTAAGGAGGGCAGCTTTCTCTGGGAGGGATGCAGACAGGAGTTCTTCCAGTTTCCCTCAGGGCATAATTAGAGAATACAGAGAGAGATGACTGAACCATTTGCTGATTATTAGAGAGTCATCCACTGACTTTCTCCCCTCTTTCTGTGCCTTACCCCATTCCCAGACAATTGCATGAATGTGATAGCATGATCCTGCTGCTCCTTATCTCAGCTCTGGTACCATTCTGACAACCAAATCTAATTGTCTCATGCTTTCAGGCAAAAAACTAATCCAGCAAAAAAGTGATTTATTTCTATTTGTAGTTTGAATTAGGTTGTTATGTAGAAAGACRAGCAACAGAGCCAATGTAAGAAGGCAGCTCTATCCTGTTTGTACATTAACGGATGCATGAAAGGACCTTCTCAGTGCCAGGCCACACACAAGTTGGGGGGACTGGATCTGTGGAGAAAGGTGGTGTCTGCTGGGGCAAGAGAGGGGAGCATTCAATAGCTTTGCACAATTACATTTCCCACAAAATTGCARCTCCAACATCAATTTCAGTTCTAGAGTTTCCTGTCTCCCATGTACCATGAGGACTACATGACGTAATCATAACCCACTTCTTGAAGAGGACAAGAAAGTTGGAGAAACAGATAAATATTCTCCAGCCCTGCATACTCTCAGAGAATTTAGCAAATAAAGATCCCAAGTAATTTTAGGAAGGAAACCAGACCATCACATACTACATACTAGAAATCAGAGCTCTCATGTCACTAAAGAAGCCAATAGCACGAGTTGGTCCATCTGGCAGATGATCATTTAGAGATTAGAGCCAGATGAGGAACATAAAATCAAAATAGTATACTGGCCTAACCACTGCATAGATGAGGACAAATGATCAGGCTTCCAGATGCAACTATCAGCTCTACTCTCTATTTTGCACTCAAAGGTTATGTAACACAAGGCAGTAGTATCTTTAAGCTGTCATGACTGATGTAGACACTGGGTTAGTTCAGAATCATGTCACTGAAAACAGCTTCTTTAATGGCTTTCATTCTTTCATTTGCTAACAGAGGACAGACAATTCCTAGATTTTTTTTTATTTTTAATGACCAAGATTATCAATAATTTTTCCCCCACTTGCTCTCTTTAGATTTTTTTTTTTGCTTTAACAATGTTTCTATGTGTATGGCTTGTGTGTTTTGCAAGGGCGTTATTCTCTGAATTAAACTGGATTCCTATAGTAAGGTAAGGGCTAAACACAAAGCAACGGCAAATCTGGGACAAGAATTCCAAGCCTAAAACCAGAAAAGCAGAGTCCTCCTTCTTTGAATTAGYGAGGAAGATGGCAGGACTCAGGTCAGCTGAGGCTATATGAGGATCAAGAGTAAAATAATGTGTCTTCAAATTTAAATACTGCTCTTAGGCACCTGACATGCCCCAATTGGAATTGATTTAAAATAATGTCACAGATTAGGATGTGCTCWGCTGCTAGGTAAAGTCAGGCGTCATTAACGCTGGTCTCTGTTAAACATAGGGAAAGGAATTCATACCTAAGAAAGCCAGAGCAAGTACCTTGGCTGGATGATATGACCAGATCTTATAAAAAGGTGAGAGATTTGGGATAAAAACAAAGTGTCTGGATCTCCATACATCACCCAACATCTAACTAAGYATTCTAAAAACATACAGATGCTCTCACACTCTGAATCATGTGTCAACACTAGAAGGATGAAGCATGCTCTAGAGAACACTTACATTTCTACCATCACTGGAAAACTTRTCTGACTGGCTGAACTATTGCTTTTTCTACCACTGACCTATACAGTYAGAGCTGAGATTAATTCTTCCCCTGTAATCAAAGACAAAACAGTTCTAGCCGGTTTCATACTTAGATATTTTTTAAATCTGGTTGTTTTATAGTCTGTTTCAGTTCCTACGATGGGGAAGGCATCTACTTTTAAGAGAAATATTTTCTCACTCTTTTGCTCACATGTTAAGCTCCTAGCTATGTCTGGAAACTCTCCTTCATGACCTAAGAGTAATGTGAGATCTGAGATAGCTGAGAATYCCTGAAGGTCTCCAAATTGCAGCGGGAGCTCCTGCTCATCCAACAGCTTCTGCAGGAACATGGCACCAACATTTCCTGCCTATTAGTGCATCATATCAGAGCTCTTCCTAGTAGGACTTCTAGGATTTCTGCAAAAAGCCAGCCTGGGCATACTTCATGGAGTCTTTACCACATAGAGTTACAAGACAGCTGGAGACCTAGGTCACACTACAGGTAGCCATGTACTAAAAGGCRCTTCAATTACCAAGCACACCCAATGTTTTCACATTGGATGGCTGTGCCTGAACCACCTGAGGTTCTTGTACAGCTTAGTCACCCAAGAGTCTTCACTCCAGCAGCTAAGTGGCTGGCAATGCAAATAAAGTCTTCCCCAAAGCTAAACATATACCTACTCTCCCTTGTTCTTACCAAGAACTTAAAAAGGAAGGTCAAGCTGTGGGCACCTGTGTGCAAAAGTAGAATAAGAGCATTTAGAGACACTCCTCTAAGCCAAGTTGTGATGATGCTAGAAAGTTTCCCTGAAAACAGGATGAATAGGCCAGGCAGTCTGATGGGAATTGAGTTACAGATGGAGAAAGGCTTGTTTCCCAGTTTAYTTCAGAAGACTTGCTTAATAGTCCCATAGATAATCTGCCTGCATGTTAATTAGGATTCCCTAAATTTCTAGGCAAGATGAAGGAGAAATGGAGCTGCAATCTTAACATCTGCAGACTTAGTGAGTTCTCACTTCTCCTGCAATTTAGGAAATTGCAAAGAGTATATAAAAGAATTCATTAGTTGCACTTTACCAAATGAAAAACCACCAAGGTCATGCAGCAAAAAGCTGAAGTAATAGATGCTCTTCTGTCTTCTCAAGGGTCAAGGCAGTACATCCCTATTTCATCTCTGCTCCTTACCTGAAGTATTTTCAAAGGTATTCTTGGCTTATGGAGAAGCCTYTATCCAAAATAGTTTTATACAACCTGACAGAAAAAACTTATGTTTGTAATCCCCAGTGAGAAATACACTTGCTCTGCAGTTACAGACGGACAGTGGGGCAAAGAAATAGCAAAAAAAAAAAAAATTCAGGCAGTATGTACAGTATTTGTTACTCCTTTTATTGATAGTAAGCCTTTTCAGGTTTTGTACTTGTCAGAGGATTTCTCTGTGGATTTTCTCAAAAAGTTACCCCAGAAWAAAAAGGTTTTGGCTGCTTCTGGTTTGCATCTTAACCCACTCTCCCACTTAATCTCCTTTAAAACAGTTGAATTTCCCACTTTGCTTAAAAGCCTAAGCCTCAAGCCCTACTTTTCCACATTAATGCAAAACTTCAGCTTCACTTCCGTTAATTGCCAGTTCTGCAACATCCAATTCTTTACAAAAGGCCACTCAGTGTTGGAGCTGTTAGCCCTACAGTAACAATAGCCAACCAACCTCAGTAAGCCCATGGCCTGGAGAAGGCAAAAGCCTTGAGCAGAATAACTTGGTTAACTTCACTTCTGTGAATCTTCACTTAACACACATAGAAAAAAAAAGGGGAGAAACCCCCCCTCCTCTAAAACTTAGCCTAGAATAAGACAGCAGATAAATTTCTGCAGACACTGTTTCATATTCAAACCACATTGAAAGGAACAGACATATAGTTGAGTTTGTTTAAAACCCAGGAAGACACATAAATCTACTGTGGAGGCAGAAGAGGAACAAGGTGTGAGTTGTTGCTACTAGAACACTACTTGTCATCTAATTTGGCTCAGCACAGACTGGGCTACCTGTAGTATTACAAAATTTAARCTTAACACCTATTGATTAATACACCCAGTTAAAGCCTTAGTTAAAAAAAATCTATTGAATAACCAATTTTAACAATATTCTAAATGTAATGCTAGCATTCCCCAGACTCAGGGATACTTTACATAAACTGACTAAATAGTGCAAGACAGTAACTTCTCACACCAAATAATCCAACAATATACAGTCAGATCTCTCATGTACTTCATTTCCTTTCCTGTCTGGAGTACAAGTTGTGCACTATGAACTTTAGGACTCTTTCACTCTCTCAGAAGCGTTTTGCTGTTGACAAATATAATTTTATTGAATTTCCTTTATACAATTCCAGAGACTTTGCTGCCTCATCAGCAAAGCCTACTAGAGAGTCACATTATCATATGATCAGAGAACTAGTCATAAATATTAACTGATCTTAAAATCTCTTACTAATTTAATTAACATCATCTTGTCCAGCAGCCGTATCTGACAAATGTTCAGCAAATAACCTACCCTTGCTGGCCTRTTCAACACAGACTATGTGTATTTATTTCAGTGTTTTGAAAGCAAAATTGGTGAAGCTAAAGTCATGTCACAGCAGCCATTGCAAACATCTCCTAACTATTTCCCAGCCAGGCATCAGAATTTTGGAACTTTTCTTTCCCTATGACTATGCTGATAGAGGAAAAGACAGAGCTTGCTCAATAACAAGCACATGTCATGTGCTTAGCTACATCACCAGCTACAGAGAATCAGAGAATCTCTTAGTTGAAAAAGACCCTTAAGATCATCAAGTCCAACTCAGCACTGCCATCTACTACCAGTGAGTATTTCATAGTGTCATTCTACCTTCCAGCTTAATCAAGGAATGAACAAAGTTTGATTAATTTTTTGTTTGGCTGTTGTTTGGGGTTACAGATTTTTTTTTTGTTTTAATAAAAAAAACCCCTGCACTAGATTTGTAACAAGCACAAAATTTTGCCACTTTTCATAAATGTGCAAATCCCCATGCTGTGGAGCTTCAGTATCTGCTCCCCAGCAGTTTCTTAACAGTATTTGCTGAAAAAGGTGTTTAAGTAAGCCCTTGCAGACCTTGCTAAGTCACCCAGCCTCACTGGCTCTCAAGTGCTTGATCAGTCACCTAACTACAGGCCAGGGAGATAACCACACTTTTTGCTATTCCTTATGCACTTCCTTACACATACACTATTTCGTGATTGCATTACTTAATCAGTAATACAGATACAGTACTGCATCTCACCAAGATGTTGGGAGAGCCTGCAGGATGAGGAGGGGAGGGCACGTCCTGATCCCACAATGAAGAAGCTATACTTTGTACCTGCTACTAATTAAAACAGCACACAACTGCAAAATGTATCATTAGTTTAAACAGACAGGAATTCAAGGCAACGAATGCAAACAAAAAACTTCACAAATACAGAAATCCTCTGCAAGTGTCATAAATTGAKTTGCTCCTGAGATACTTACGGAGCTGTGAGATAGCCTTCCAAGAAGCCAGCAACATACATAATATCTTCATTGCTCAAGGTCTGAGTGCCATAGCCTGCTCTGATCTCCAGGACACCCCAGCCTGTTGTCTGTAGACTGTTGTTGTAGAAGCCATAAGCATCTCCACTCCTGTCCAGTGTATTCCTGACCTGAAGTATTTTTTCAGCTTTATTCCAGTACACAGTTGCATAGCGGAGCTCTACAGTGGAGAAGAAAGGGGGCAAAGGAAATAAACAAATGTAAGTAGGTGGCTCATATACAATTCTTAAATGTCAAKACAGTACTTTGTAATTTTAAAAAGYTAATTTTACAGTTTTCCATCAGGCTTTTTTCTACTACAGAGATCAACACTAACGTTAATGCACAGAAAAAGGGCATGAGAACTAACTGCAGTTTTACAAAAACTCACAGCTAAACATTCTCATGTTATTCTTCTGGAAGTTATCTACAACTCTTTCAGTGCACAGCTGCAACATAGCTGAGTRTTGACATAAAACTCTGAAAAGTGTTTCCTTACCTGGCCCAGAAGACAATTTATATAAATCTTATTGAAAGCAAGCAACTTTAGAAGACAGCCCGCCTTAGCAACTGCAAAGGATTATAAACTACTGTTGACTTTATTTTGCATCTAAAGACACAAAAAGTTACWAAAGCTTTCTGCTACTTCCAACTAATCCTGGAAGTGGCATAACAGAAGCACTAGGACTCAGTGGATCACAAGTTTAAAGACAAAATATATATACACATAAATACACAAGGTCTATCATCCATCTGAAATAGAATCTATCCCAAGCATTAAATGAACAGGAAGGAAGAGCACCAGACTGCTCAGCGTCCCACCAGACTGCTCAGAGCTCCATTTGGACTGCTGTTTTAAGAAACATTCCTGATTACTTGTGTTTTAATCCTGCAAAGCTGAAGAAGAAAGAGSAAAGTAAACTGCTTTCTGAAAAAAAACCCAACAAACCACCAAACAAACAACAAAATAAAGTCCCACACCCTACAATTCTAATTGAATCTTCCCTAAGATGGTCTGTGATTACATCAGCTCTCTATTCATGACTGATCAAATCACTACTACAAGTCTCACTACTGTGAGAAGAGTTAAAATATCATATGTCAGAGTTCCCAGAATTATTTGAAAAGTTTTAAGGGACAAATTCATGAACAGTCATTCTGAACAGCTGCACAACACTGTGGCATATCATCAACAAATTTCCTGAGGGTGCACTCTACCCCATCACCAACRTCATTAAGGAGGATGTTGACCACTATCAAACACTGGCCTATGCCACTTGTTACAAGCCTCCAGCTAGGCTTTGCACCATTATGCACTACATCAGTTTTCTTGACGTACTAAAGACACTTCTCATGGAAACAGAAAATGTATTGGCAGAACCAGAATTTTAGTAGTGAAAGAACCTTGCTTTTTCCACATTCTATGAAAAGAAGTTGTTACATGAGTCTATTCAGAGATGAAGTAATTTCAGTGACTTGGAACACAGTGTTTAAAAACATGTTTTTATCTGCCAGGCTATTTTAAGGAATGAGACACAACAGACTTTGAGTAGCTCTTCAAGCAGCTATGAGCTTAGTTTTGCTGTCTCTTTAATGATCTTCTAGCAAYAGATGCAATATTTTCTACTTTAGGTTAAAGGAAGACATGAGGATCACTAAAACTGAAAATTCTGTAAACAGAAGCACAGGCTGATAAGGATCATACTGATGAAAGTCAAAGGCCACCTTACAAAATCAAAGTTTACATACCAAAAAAGTCAGGTAAAAGGAGGTTCTATGAGGGAGTGATGCAAGGAGTCAGAGCAGAACACAACTTGCCTGTCCAGCAGTAAAACGGGAAGGCTGATTCCAGCCAAGAAGGCCATTGCAGGGCAGAGGAAAGACAGGCTACTTGCACAGTAAACAAATACGTTGAGGAATGGGTGAAAAGAGCAAGAACAAAGTAAAGCAAAACACGACCATCTTTCCATCTCTTCAGGAGGCTGTGGAGAGGTGGCTGGAAGTCAAGAGGAACCAGGGTATTGCTATTAGTGCCTGCAAACTAAATAGATATGTGAGAGAAACTGTGTCTGTCTAAAGCAAAACAGCTCTTACTTTCTTCTGTAAAAGAAAGGGGATGCCAAAGCCAGACAGACCTACCTCACACAGGTACTCTTACATGGTAGGCTGTGTTTCTTTGTTTCATGCTCTGCCAAAGCATGAGCATGCAGAGCTATTTTCAAAACACAGAACAAACTTTTCAATAACCCTTGAAGTTTGCCCTGCCCCAGCTTCATTRCATGACAAATTTAAACTGAAGAAAACAAGGACTCAAAGAGGATGGGAGGGAAGGGGAAATACTAAATTACAGGATAATTTGCAACAAACCTTGAGAGGCCTTTAAGGGAATAGCATCAAGGTAGCTATTACAGATATAGTTTAAAAACAATGCTGGAAAACACTATTTCCCATGACTGCTTTTTCTTTTCAYTGACTCATCATCTCACTTCATCTTGCAGCTAGAATTAAAACTACAAACTTATACACTTGTATACACTACAATGTAATCAATTAGGTCGCATTTCTTACCACCTAATCTGTTAAAAATTTATTCTGTGTTTATCTAAACAAGCAGGACTGCCTTTGCCAAGAAAACCACCAAGAACTGACATAATAGAATACAGACACACAAGAAGCACCCGCACATTTTCAAACAATCCCACTTGAGTTCTTAAAAAAACAGGAGCTTTCCCATTGGATAATACTACTATTTTTACATTTATTTTTGGAGGGTGGGGCAGGGGCCCTAGCATCTCTTACCGCAACAGACATMTTGGTCACTTCTTGCATATAAAACAATTGCAATGTTTCCATGAACCTACAAATCATCCTGTCATCATCAAAGTTAAGACTTTTGAGTGTTCAGCCTATTAGGACTCTGATTAACAGAAAACACTGTGATAATCTGTAACTATTCTGTAACGAATCTGTAACAGTGTTGCTTAGAAGAACCTAAATAACACACCAAAGCACACACTACCTAAATTCAATTAATGAGTCACAATCCCAGGGGATAGGGTAGGCCAATGGAATCATCCTTCCWCTCCAAGCCATCAGCCAGCCAGGAGAACTGCAGAGCATCAGCAATGCAGTTTCACCACAACCACCAGTGTGGTGAGAGAGAGACGTGCAGAAGTGCAATGACAGAGTTCCTAATTCCTGCAGTCAGTAGGAACTGGRAGGAACCCTCCTGCCTGCTCTTAAGTATATGTCAACCCTTCTGCCAAAGACATATATCCAGAAACATGGACTGTAGTTGGGACAGTGATGGAATTTCTACAGCAAGTGAGAAGTATTTGCTTTTTGTCAAAATAATTCCCTAAATAATGGAAAAAGGAGTRTATTTCAGCCGTGATTAGGAGGTGGCAGTAGTTCCTTTAGGTTTTAAGCTGAAATGTGAAATCTGTTCTTTGCCTTTTGGGCTCACTACAGGTATTTCCAAGGTTATGCTAAAACTGGAGATTGTCTTTTATGTGGTGGCACCAAGAGAGYAGAGAAACATGCATGTTCATTAGAATATGAAAGAAGCAGTTAAAGCAAACACTAAGATAGAGGACTAACACAAGATGAAACACAATAGGAAAGCAGATGATGAAGAAAAGAAAGAATGGCAGTAATTTGCAATAAAAGAACAGAATCGACAAGACAAAGAATTAAAGAAACAGTACAGAGATTACCCAAGATCTTCTAACAACCACACTATCACTAATATTTATTAAACACATTATACCTACAAAAATAACACCTGGCATGCCTCAAGAATGCCAGTAAAATTTGTTTGGCAATCTGCAACAGCTGCTTTTCCTTATGCTTTCCCAGACACAAGTTGTTTTTAAAGCATACATGTATCAAGTTAGGCTACTGGACTTTATAATCAGAAAAATTATAGTAGAACCCTTTTGCTTGCACAGAAAAGAACTAAAAGGTCTGGATGTGAGAAATAATATTCATATTTTCCTTAGTCTGAGAAACAAGCCAACTCACAAGCAATGGARCACCCTTTAGTTCACAGGTAACAAGCTAAATTAACAACTGTGAGCATGTCCTACTAATATGAAAACTACTGGATCCTTAACTACTAATTTAATCTATATTTTTATGTGTGGCTTTCCAAATGTGAAGCTTTTTTTTTGTAGAAGTGTTCTTCATAGATTCCACCTATAAACTTTCCACTAAATAGGGAAGATATCACTCTCTTGTTTCACTGAAAACTAGTTTTGCATCACTTCAAAATTAAAAAAAATATCCAGAACAAAATTGCACATTTGATTTCAGTATACTCTCCCCTACAACTAATGTTCAGTAGTAAAGATTATTTTATCACAGTATAGCATTTAAATATTTCAGGTCAACCATAATAAGAATGTTGCTATTCATTGTTTTTATTTGATAGMGCTTGACCTGTTTTTCCACTCAAAATTTTATAGAATCATAGAATGTTAAGCGTTGGAAGTGACCTTAAAGCTCACCTAGTTCCAACCTCCCTACCACAGGCCGGGTCACCTTTCACTAGACCGTGTTGCTCAAGGCCCCGTCCAACCTGACCTTGAACATTTCCAGGGATGAGACATCCACAACTTACTTGGGCAACCTGTGCCAGTGACACCACCCTCACAGTAAGGAATTTCTTCCTTATATCTAATCTCAACCTACCCTCTCTCAGTTTAAAACTATTGCCCCTACATGCCCGTACAGAAAGTCCATCTCCCTCCTTATAATAAGGCTCCTCCAGAGTCTTCTCCAGGTTAACAACCCCAGTCCCTCAGCCTGTCTTTGTAGAAGAGGTGCTCCATGCCTCATCTTTGTGGCACTCCTCTGATCCTGCTTATCCACGTGTTGCTTTTTTTTTTTTTAGAAGCATCCTTTTAACTGTTTAAAAAGGGTATATAACTTTAAAGAGCAAGTGAGATTTCAATATAGAGTTATGATTGGAATCCATTACAAAACAAATGTTAAGTATTTCAGGGCTTCTTTATAGATTAGCTTAAGCCACACAAGAAATTAACATAAAGCCCAGTAATTTTCAAATAAAGGAGTAAATGCTTTCTTGATCTGCCTGAATAGAAGGTATTTGTGTTTTCTATTCTCCTGGCCTTAATTCTTCCTATTTCCTCAAGCATTTSAGGTCTAAGTAATTTTTCAATTTGCTTCCAACAGGCCTGTCATTATTTGAAGCCTAATCCCCTGATTTGTGCTTGCATCAGAGAAAAGCAATATTCAAATGCGAACTATYAGTTAAGGGTTTCAGTCCTGTATGATTTTCATGTTCACAAAGATACCTGTTACTAAAGCCTGGCAAATACAGCAGATTTGCCAAAGTTATAGATACCCAGTACAGGTCATCCACAGAGGAAACAAAAATAACCATTCAACAAGTAGCTTCACTAAACTCAGAGCACCTCAGTTTAAACCATTTTAGAGAACATTCTGYAGAAACAGTTTCCAAAGTGTATGATGAAGAACCTTCAAGGCATTCAAAATGCTAAAGGATGAGAAATCAATTAAAAAAAAAAAAAATCTAGACAATTCACAATGTTGGAACCCATTTASTCTATTAAATAGCCTAAAGGCATTTCTATTTCCTCCTCTGTAGTTTTCTACAAGTAATTAAATTATGATGTTAGAMATCAGTTGGGCATTAACTGAAATTACTTCATACCCTAAATGTTCTTTCATTTCTTCTGCATAATTCGCAACTGACMCTTCCTTAGTCCTCCTAACTGAAGTTTTTGCCAGGCCAGGTAAAGTTTTAAAACTATGTCTGCAAAATGAGGTATGGCTGTCCACAAAATTAYATGCTCATAACATTTTGCACACATTGAGACAACTGTTACGTGAATTTCTCCTTGGTTTGTGGCAATTATACATTAACTGGGAAAGTCCTAGAAGATAAGCACCGAATCCAGTCCTTAAGACTTTCAGAATTTATTGAAAGAAGCACAAGAATGAGATACTGTGTCCCTGCCCAAGGCAGCATGACTGGAACAAGATGATCCTTAAGGTCCTTTCCAGCTCAAGCCGTCCTGGGATTCCGTGTGAGTTCTCAAACACGGAATGACCTATATCCACAAGGTAGCACTAAAACCCTTAGTCACAAGTTGCAGCACGCTGTAGGCCACAGCACCACAACGAAGACTTCATCCTGAACGATTCCCGTGCCTGCATATCACATTGAAAATCAGCACGGCTGGGAACTCAAGGCAACTTCCCACCTGTTGGATCCTCAGTTTGGCCCTTCTGGGGACTGTGAAGATGTTCTGAAAGCGCCAGCACCGAACACGCACGAGGCAGCACGGCCCGGCCGCCGGGGCACGAGGCGCTCCCGGGGCAGCCCCTGAGGGGGCCGGAGCCGGCCCGGCCTGAGGGGTCCCGCCRTGGGGAGCGGGGGCCCGGTGGCCTCGCACCCGCGTCCCAGGCAGCACGGGGCGGAGGAGCGGCTGCCCTCGGCGGGGMGCGGAGCCCGGCGGTCCCCCGGGAGAGCCGCACTGCCTCCGCCGCAGCGGCGGTAGAGCCCCGACCGGGCTATCCCTCCCGACCGCCTGGAAACCCCGGGGCTGGGGGCAATGCCGGTGCTTCCTTTCGTCCCGCCCACCCCGTCGAGAAGGCTTCGGGCCGGCCGCCCCCCACGCCCCCCGTTACGCCTCACCTGCGCGGCTGCACGCCGCCGCCCACAGGAGGACGAGCGCCCAGCAGCGGCACACGCCGCCGCCCGACCGGGACATTCCGCCGCTCCCCCGCGCCTCCTCCGAGCGCCAGGAGGCGGCGGGACTTTAAGAAGTTCCCTCACTCAGGGCAGGTCTCGCCGCTGCCCCCGCCTCCTCCGGCGCCCGCCCCGGTCGCGGCGCCCTGCGCGGGGGGTGGCCCTGTCGGGACGGTTGTTGCCCGCACCGGCCGCAGGGATGTGCGTCGGGAACGGTGACATCTTTCCTGCCCCGATACCTGTTTGGATATCCCAAGGACTGGCTGAGGTGTGGGGATCACTCCTGGCCGAGGTCCGGCCTCGCAGGGCAGTGAGGGGGGTCTCTTACTGGTGCTTGTGGGACCCCTGGACTTCCCGAGCGTGATTAACCCAAAAAGGGGCKAAGGTTTATCAGGAACGGCCTCCGAAAAGCAACAGGAGTTGGGCGATGCCTTGTCAAACTATGCGTTTTGCTTTCAGCCCTGTTGAGAACAGCAAATGCTGTGTGTGTCCCAGCAGAAAAAAATGAGGGACAGTCCTTTTCCTAGGGATTACAGATAGAGACGACTTTCCATGGGGTTTTCCCTTGCACGTGATTCAGACCATTTTGAGGCACTGCATTTTTGTCTCCCGCAGTGTTGGATATTCTACCATTATCCGAAAACCACCATTATTTGGACTTCGTGTTTCAGTAATTGTTTAAGACAGCTTGAATTCGATACYGGTGCCTGTAATAGCCTCATATAACGAGGTCACATGCCAACCAGTTCAGGCCAAGTAGAAAGCCTTGGCCACAAGCCCAGGGTAAGAGCACTGTATCTCCAGGCTGCAGGGATGCTTCCATGCCTGTCACTGCTTTGTTCTAGGCTACTTTTYACTTAGAGATAAGGGAAATCAGACATTCAAACTGGAAGACGGGATTTTTTAAAAGAGTAGTCAGAGTTGATTTTACTGTGATATGTAGGTAACAGATACATGCAGGGATGAAATCATGTGGAAAACAAGTCTATCAGAAGATAGGTCCATCCACTGATTGTGAAAGTAACTATGTGTCTTCCCAAAACTCTATTAAATTTATCTGAAAAGTGCTGGAAAGAGAAGGGCTGCTGAAAACTAAGCACTATTTAAATYGATTTTCTCTATCACTGTCAGCAAACATTTGCTTTAAAATAATTTGTATCTCAGAGGTGTCAAGGATGAAACCTATAAAACTCCTCTTTAAAAAGGGGAGTTATGTCACTTGTATCACTTCAAAGATGTGAAGAGCTGGGGTAGGCTTGATGAGCTCAGCACCTGTCACTACATTACAGCTACACTTATGGAGTGTTTCAGATACAGCAACCTGAATAGCCCACCAGTGCCCAGTAGTGCAGCAGTCACACCCAAGAATGCAGACATAGAGACAAAGCTTGTTGACTGGCACCATGAGGCAGGAAATAGCAGACTTGGTATTTTTATTTTACTGATATTCTTTTCAATACATATAAGTTTTAGAACATCAGGGTTTTGTTGTTGTTTTTTTTTCCCTATCCTTATCCCAATGAATGTTTCCATTAGGACAAAGACAGAAATGATATGGTATTAATGCCAGTGTGAGTTTCAGATTGGTTATATATCATATGAAAGCTGTGGCTGTTGGTTACACGCTTACTGTTATTGGTCTGTATCATGTTCCTGAGTGTCAGAATTTACATTTATTAGGTGAGAGTATAAGCCCTACAGCACCTCATTATTTAATTTTTCCAGAAGTCTTTGCMTTTAGATCTATTTGCAACTGCATTGTTCTTTTGGTGTGTGTTCTTCTTTTAGTCTGTGTTCTTACAAAGCTAGCTTACCTTAACAAAGGGAAAACAGAGGCAACTGGATTGCTCTTTTTTCATTCTTTTTATGTTGTTTAGTTGAACAAAAATGCTATTCAAAACTATAAAAGAATTATTTTGCACCAATTTTATGGTTTGAATACTGACAAATATTTGAAAATGGTGGAAGTAGTTCTGCTTTGAAAACAAACAAGTCACAAAAGGCCCTTGCAAAAATAGATGTTATTCACTCAGTAGATGTTATTTCTTCATGTGAATGCTGATTTTCTTTTACATGTGGCCCCTGTGCTTTTATTACTTTTTAAAACTATGTATTAATATTAATAAAGTGCCATGATGTCAGTTGAAGAGCGAGTCATCTGGGTGAAACCTGCTTGACTGTAAAACTGCATCCAAAAGATGAATTGAAAACGTCGGAGGTTAAAAAGTCCAGATGATTTCATTTCCTTAATTTCTGTTTCACTTCTGGTTTTGGGACAGAAGCAGAAGTGGTGAAAAGTTATGAAAGTGTCTTGTTTTGCAAGAATGGCAGTTCATTTTTCAGACCCAGGAGATTCMGATGAGCTTTAGAAACCATACTTCTGGAATAATCTCCCAATGTAAATAAATAAGAAGTGTTGTCTCTTGAGCAAAGTCAGCTTGACAAAACATATGAAACACAGAGGAAAACAACAGAAGAAACAAAATAGCAACATATCCAGGTTTTACATATGGTAAATTTATTATATTTTCAAATATATTACACCAAATCTTTCTTCAAATAAAAATTACAAATTAAATACAACATCTAAAAATCATGAAAAATTAAGGTTTTGCTGTGAATATTTTCAGAAGTGGATTACTGAACAGGCTATCTCGGTTAAAAAATATCCTAACTAAAACATAACCCTCACTATTTTCCAGGCTCAAGTGCAAACATTTTCATTTACCTCAAATCATGCTGCATGTGTCCTAATGAAGTCATCCAACAATTTCAACATTACAGTGAAGAGAGGTTTGATTTACTGATAGCAGGTTGGATGGTAGAAAGGATGCTTGAAAAGGCGTTTACTTTCCTCTCTCTCTCAGATTATAAACCTCCAGCCTCCACATGAAGTTGTCCAGTGAGGTGCAGCTTTTTGAGTCATACTAGACATCCAGTTTTAAACATATGTGGTAAAATTCTCCGTACTGACCAGCTGCAGGTATTCCAGGGTACCTGATCTGTAGCTAGCTACTCGKGAAAGCTTCTGCACCTTGGATCCTTCATTTTCTCTCTTCTGAAGACTATTGGTTATCATCTCTGCCAAGTCATCTTGTAACCGTTGCTGATTCTCCCTAAAATCAACAGGATGAGAAAAAAGAAATCAGTGATTCACATGTTTTTAGTGATCCCCACGTCCCCAGAGATTTTTAACATTTCTATCCCATGTTTATCTTAATGACATTCACACAATACTGATAAAAAAGTGTGGGCAGGACCAAATTCAGGTTCTGAATTTGGGAATAGAAGTAGGGATTTTCATGTGAGTTTTCCAGATAGTATGGATCAGTGCCTTTGTACAGAGGGTCTGTAGCTGTGTCATTATTGACCTTAAAAGGCCATGATTACTTGCATGAAAAGGAAGACACAGATTAAATCCTAATCAAAATAGTTTTCAGTTCTCAACACCATTACTGGGACCAAGACTTGCACTATTCAGCTTCAGGTGGCCTTGAGTAATAAAGTTGCCATGATTTCAGAAATTTCTTCAGTGTATCTGGCTTTTGCTGGAGTACCCCACAATTTTTAAGGGGCAATCCTATATGAGGAAATGAAAACAAAAACATTGCTGTTATCCAGTTCAAGAATATGTTCAAATGCTGAACTCCAGATGACTGCCAATTCAATGATTCTGATAGTCTCAATAGATCATATTAATTTTTAAAAAAGAGTTCTGAGTTTACAAAAGAGATGTACCATAAGAAGTCGTCTTGGCAGTATTTCCTGCTCAGCCCATACACTTGTACTTTCCATTTTAAAAATAATCAATTTCATGAGATTCTGTAATGGATTAAAAATTTGATTATTTCTGTTTTGCAAATGCCCTGAGAAAACTCTCATCTTCCACTTAGCTTCCTCTTTTTTCTTATACAGTAGGAATAAATGGACAGAGAATTTTATTTGTGCAAAGGACACATTGTGTAAGACTCAAAACTTACAGTAGAAGCAAGTTGTAACATTTACTTATGCGTTTCTGGACAAGGGATCCCCATGCATTTGGCAAACACTAATTTGAATATCATTGCTTCAATTTGTAATGAAACACTGCCATTTCAAAGCAGACRGCAGAAAGTTCCCACTCAGTAAAGAACAACTGTATGCAGGTGTTTAGAGCAGAAAGTGAGGAACTTCCACATTTAGTGAGTYTGCAGGAAATAGAGGTACTCATAGGCAAAATATACACTAAAAAAAATGCAACAAGTTATCCGGACTTCAGTTTTGCATAGTTTCTCAAAAACACTACTTCCATTATTGCTGTATTTTATTCAATTCTAATGCAAAATGATGGCTCAGATCCAGAACATCAACCTCATATTTTTTTACTGATAATTTCTCCCCTATGTGTTAGAAAGTAAGCTCTTGTTCAATTTTTAAAGACTTTATTCCTGTGCAGTACTATAGTCACTTTGTCCACCTTTTGTAATAGAATAGTGCTTGAAATCCTGCAAGTTTCGTTCCTCTTACAAATTCCCCCACAAGAGTTCACATGTAAAACACGGTATTACAGAGAGCTGCACATTCAGTTATGGAAATCTTCCTGTACTGTGACACACAGGTGCCACTAGGACTAAATTTGTGGGAATATTAATGTTTTTCATTTTCCTATCCATCTCTTGCTCTTATCACATCAGTAACTTGTCCTGTTAAGTCTTACTCCCTTTCCAAAGAAATGAGCCTGCTAAGCATTTATATAGAGAAATAACTTTCAGCACACACAGAGTCCCATGTCATGAATATTTACATGTTTATCTGCACAGACACTATTAGTCCTCTAACTACATAAGACAAGTTCAATGGTATAAAAAAATCCACAACAAGTGCCAAGGAGGTACAATAGAGGCTAAAGTGCAAAGAATGGGAGTTTCTTCTCCCTTTTCACATATAAAGACCATCTTACACAGAAGGAGGTGTAGGGAGATTGTATTTCTTGTCCTCAGTACCCGTCAACCAGTAGGTAATTTCTGTTCCTCTGCCCTAAATAAGTATGACGAAGAAAAGAAAGTACAATTCTGGGATTAGAACGCAACTTCCTGTAGTTAATT